GAAATGATTTCTATGAAATTAACTCCTTGAATAATTTCTCAGATCCTTTGTCTCTCTCCTCGCCTTCTGGAATGCCTATAACTCTTATATTTCCTCTAAAACCTGGAAACAACCCAAATGCCCCAAAATAGATGACTGGATCAAGAAGATGTGGCATATACACACAATGGAATATTACTCAGCAATCAAAGAAGATAAACTCGGGCCTCCCCGGTGGCGCAGCAGTTGAGCACTGGGTTGAGAAGCTGCCCACAGCCACTGCAGCGCCACCAGTTCAATCCCCGGCCGCCAGGCGAGGGTCCCACATGGCGCGCAGACCTCTCCTGCCGCTCCCGCTGCTCCCCTTAGCAGTGTATTTCGTCAGTCTGCCTGCTCTGCTCTCTCCTCTGGCTCTGGGGAATTCTCTCACCCTCCTGCGCTTCTGACTGTACCCAGTGCTTGTATCAATAAATAAATAAATCTTAAAAAAAAAAAAGACAAACTAATGCCATTCACAGCTACATGGATGGAACTCGAAGGAATTATGCTTAGTGAAATAAGCCAGAAGGAAAAAGAAAAATATCGGATGGTTTCACTTACAGCAGGAATATAGGGGAACCAAATAAGATATCAATGTAAAAAAAAAATAACAACAGTACAAAACACAACAAAGCAAAAATGGACAATTATAAATCAAAGACATCCTGCAGGGGAGGAGGCTGGAGGGGGATCAGAGGGAGCAAGGGAGGAGCACAGTGGACTGAGGTGATGGTGCACAGGTGCATTGGTGAAGGAAACTCTATGGGGACTACACCTGAGGGGGTGGGGGGATGCACATATTGTTTAAAAATAAACAATGATGTAAAAAATTTAAAAATTAATATTAAAAAATTAAAAATTAAAAAAAACTAACCATTTCTATGATCCCAGGGCCTGAGGGCCTCACAGCTTGACTGCCCTGTGCCATCAAATCTTCACAGTGGTGGCTAAAGCAAGGACAGTCCATTCCAGCCCTGATGTGGCACAGCTTAGAACTGACAAGAGCTCCGAGTGCCTATCTTTAAAGGGAAAAAGCATTGGGCCATCTGTCTTAGTTTAAAAGAGGCTTCCAGAATCAGTTTTGTTTTGAGATGATTTCTTTAATTCCGTGACTCCCATTATGAGTTTGGAGAAAAGTGGGTTTGAGGACAGGATGAAGTTGCTCACCTGTTTCTGAGTTTGAGAAAGATGGATTATATAATACATAAAGAACAAATTCAGGCCTCAGTGACACAGCGGGTTGAGTGCAGCACTGGAAAGCTGTCTGCAGCCTCTGCAGCGCAGGCTCGATTCCCGGCAAGCCAGGGAGGTTCCCACATGGCATGGCAGACCTCTCCTGCCTCACCCGCTGCTCTCCTCAGCAGTGTATTTCGGTCCATCTGCTTGTTCTGCTCCTCACTCTATGTCTGGAGAATCCTCTCACCCTCCCACACCTCTGGCCTATACCCTAGCTCTTGTATAAAAATAAATAAATCTTAAAAAAAAAAAGAAAAGAAAAAATTCAAGAACTGGATTTCTACTTGTTGAGTCAGTATATAAAATAAATACAAAGAGAAGCTATTCTAAAATCCCAAAAGAAAAACCCCCAAAGAAACAAAACTACAAGCACAAAAATAGAGACTATAGAAATATATATAGAGACATATACAGGCGAACATCTCCATTTTGATAATAAATTCATGGTTTACACTCCATATTAAAATAGGAAAGTGAGAAATTACATACACAGTCCCAAAAGGAATGTTGGAAGAGTTGCCAGATAAATGTAAGTAAAAGTAATAGTGTGAGCTGCACTGCATCATAAAAAAAAATTATTTAATAAAAGCGAGTCATTTCATATTCATGAAAGATAGACTTTGCAATGAAAATGTCATGTGCATTTTTCTCAAAACCATTTGGTCCCTAGGGGAGGGATTGGGGTCAGAATGGGGGGGTTGCAATTGTATGGGGAATATAAAAATAAAATTTATTATAAAAAAAAAAAAAAACCATTTGGTCCCTGGCACCTCACAGTACTATGAAGCCGTCCAAAACCTCTGCAGCACAAGTTCCATCTCTGGCCGGCCAGGGAGAAACCTACATAGCAAGGCAGACCTCTCCTGTCTCACCCGCTGCTCCCCGCAGCAGTGTATTTCGGTCAGTCTGCCTGTTCTGTTCCCTACTCTGTCTCTGGTGGTTCTTCTCACCCCCTGCATCTCTGGCTTATACCCCAACTCTTGTATGCATAAATAAACAAAAACCATTGGGTCCCTAAATTCACAAGGCTTCTAGAATCAGTTTTGCTTTGAGATGATTTCTCAAAAACCAAAATATGGTTAAAATATAAAAAGAAATAGACAGAAGACATGTAAGAAGCCATAATATATTTGTCTTAGTTTTTGATAGAGCAACTAAACAAGCTTTATTATTGGATTATTTTAATTATTAACAATTTTGAATTCATAGGTATACAGAAAACCTTGTCCCCTACGAAGAAGATGTTGTCAAAGTCTTGTGGCAAGTTGAGTGAAATTTCTGTCATCTACAAAAAGAACACACAGTATTTTCAAGTATTCATAAAATATTTGTAATATTTGATGAGAAATTAGGCTAAAATCACACACACACAAACAATAAAACCAAACAAACCTCAGTAAAATATCAAAGGCAAAAATAATGTATTTTTACCTTTTTTATTCCTGCCAAAAGTTGAAAGAATAGTGGGTGGAAGGTGTGGAAGTTTCTGTGAGACCATGGGCAGTAAATAGGCCCCCTGCCAGGGTTCTGGGCCTGCATGTAGGAGGCCGGGGTCACCTTAGTTCTGTGGGCACTGGAGGGCAAGGCTGGGGACTTGCTAATGACCTGCCTGGTTGAGGGACCTGCACTTCAGGGTCTTTGAGTTTCCTTTGCCTCTGAGGTCCTGGATTCTAGCTCTGAGGATCAAGCGGACTCCCCAGTGCTGGCTCTGGTGGCCTCTGCCCTGTGGTCTGGGGCTTGCTTTTCTCATACTCTCCTCTAGATGGTGGAAGAGGACCACAGATGAGCATCTAAAGGCCTCTGGGGCCTTCACAGGTCACTCACACAAGAAGCATCTGTTGGCAGCATTTTGGCTGGGGTAAGCTGAGGGAGCAGGGCAGCACAGGGACTTCAGTGGGGCTGGCTACTTGGAGTAACCTAGCTGGGCTGCCCCTGGCCTAGGCTGAGGCAGGTAAGGACCCATCTCCCACGCCCAGACCTACCCAGCAGAGGAGGGATGCTCCTGTCTCTTTAATGTCTCCCCCACACATCCCATTATAGCTCTAGACCAGCAGCTGTGAGTCCCCTCCGCCGCTCATTTTGAGACAGGACAGTGATTCCAGAAGGCTCAGCTCCCAGTCAGGCAGTACCTGCCCAGCCCACAAACCAACAAACCCCTTCCTTCCTCATTCCAGATCTGAGAGAAGAAAGACCCCTCTGTGCATATGGGAACACTGCCCCACCCCCACCCACGGGAATTCTGCTCTTAACAAAGGCCTGTCTTCTCACCTCTGACTGCTCCAACCAGCCCGGCAGAGGCTCGCAAAGTCTCTTTACCTGCTTCTTTTGAGGCCTTCAAGTGGGGTGAGTCTGTGGTCAGAGTGGCAGTCAGAGGCCACTCAGGTGAACCTCCCTGGAGAGTGGGGGCCAGAGCAGGGAGCCCCTGTATCCTGACCATGGGAGCCTGCTAAGGGTTCTGGCCCTCCCTCCCCTGTGGGATTGGATTTTAACGGACTTTGTACACTTGCTGGCGTCCAGGTGAGTGACAGGTTGCATCTGGGGAACCACCTGGGAGGCAGCAGCCCTACTGTCCACAGGTGGTTTGGCTATTCTCCTGAGACTTGGGTGGGAGTGTCCCTCCCTCTCAGACTTCTAGAAACAAGGACAAACTCTCCCTTGCACTTCCCTGAGCCCCCTTCACACCTTCCCTCCCCTGCAGACCACCTGGCAGGCCTCATTTGCCTGTTTCTAAACAAGCTTCTCCACAACTTACTATTTAACTTTTACATACTGTCTCATCTTTCTACCCTCCCCCAACACAGACACGCTCCACCCCCATCCCTCCCAATCAGTTATATCGCCTTTTCTTTTTTTTTGAAAAATAATATTGTTGCTTATATTATTAGATTTATTTAAATGCCTTTCACATCAGGGCCTTGAGAGCCTATTATTGTGTTTTCCCAAGTGATGGCTGCAGCTGCACTGGACCTCGTGTTTTCCTGGTTTCTGGGCAGCTCTCACCCTGGGGTGGGCAGCCTCTTCTAACACAGAACATTCCTCCACATCTTGTTTCCTGGGAGCCCCATCTTTCCCTGGGAGCTGGGAGTAAATCTTCCATCATCATTTTAGGGACCCCTTCCCTCTTCCTGCGGCCTGTTTTCCTTTGCTTGCTTTTCACCTGGGTCTGGTGGCTATCCCCTGCCAGCATCCTCATGGCCACCAGCTGTGTTCTGAGCCTGTTGCCACACGTGTCTATGCAAATTCCTCACCTCTCTGCCACCCGAGGCCTTCATTGGCTCACAGACACACACACACACACACACACATGTTTACTAATCACTACTTCAGTGACTCATCAGCTTTACTTCAGTTATTTCTGAACTTCTGACAAATTAATATACAAAAGAACGCAGTTAATGTATGTACAGCATCATGGGTTAGAATATACAAAGAGACTACACCTGCTTTGTATAATGGTATTACCGCCCTGTTAGGCACACTCAGCATCCTCCCTTTCTGCCCGCAGCAGAGCCAGGAGGGGTCCCCACAGGGTGCTTGTCCCTGCTCAGCCAGTGGAGCTGGCTCCCCTCAGTCTGAGGCACTGGCCATCTTTCCATCTGTGATCTCCTAGGTCTGCTCTTTGCCTTCTGGCTTGTTTGCTCAAGTCACACCCCTTCCTCAGAGGGAGGTCTGCTAAGACTGAAAACTATTTCTACACCACCACCACCACCACCACCCACCCCCCTACTCCCCCCCACCCCCACCCAAATGCATGGATTTTCCACCCAACAGCCAGCTCAGTTCTGGTACTATCTGGAGGCAGCAGGGACCCTGTAGCTGGAAGCTCAGCCTCACGATAGAACCCCACTTCAGATACCAGTTTTAACTCCCAGGTTGACACCTGTTTTCTGACTGATTGGTCAATAAATAGGAGTCCTGTGACTCCTCCCAGGCTTGATGATTTGCTGGATGACTGACAGAACTCAGGAAAACACTTTACTTCGTAGATTACTGGTTCATTATAAAAGGACATCACTCAGGATACCCAGATGCAGGTACTCAGGGCAAGCCAGGGGGTGGGGGAGGGCTTCCAGGCCCTTTCACGCTGCCCTCCTGCATGCAGTCACCAAGCCAGAGAATCTCAGAGCCCCACTGTGTAGGGTATTTATGGAGGTCTCACTATGTAGTCTTGGCTGATGTAGGATAAATGAAGGTTGCTCAGGTTTTTGCACCGTCGGCCTCTGTGGCTATCACTGGCAGCCTTGAATGCAGGAGGCATTTGGGAGTGTGGGCTTGGGATACTCAGGCCTGATGGTGGACACCTGGAGTTAGGTGTGGGTGTGCGTAAGTGGCCACACCTGAGTCTGGAGGCTGAGCATGTAAGGGCAGTGGAGGATGGTGCAGCAGAGAGCGGTGGAAGGGCTACAAGAGGAAGAGACCACGAGATCATGCCAGAGAGAGCCCAGAGAGTAAAGATTCTCCGGGGGCTGGGAGGGGCCTGCCAGTCTCCCCGCACCCCGGCCCTCCTGTCCCCCTGCCTGCCCTGTGCCTGGTTGCCGCACTATAAGTGGCATAGGAAGAACATGAAAAGCTTGAAAAAGCCACTGAGGGCTCCAGGACACGCCTTTACCATCTACCCAGATCCATAGAGGACCTGCTCTGTGCCTTCCTGCCACTACAGCTGATTAAATAATTAGCTGCTGGTGGTTAGCCATCCCCGCCTCTCAGGTCTGAGGTGGGCCTGAAAGCACCCACTGCAATCCCGCCATGGCCTTTCTGGTGGCCAGCACCCACCTCGATAAAAGACACTCCTCTCTAAGGAAATCCCAAGGGACTTTCTGTCAGGAACTGGGAACAAAACCCAAATCTCTATTTCTTATGATGCCACAGGTGGGCGGCTTAAACAGTAGCATTTATGTCTCCTAGTTTGGGGGCTGGATGTTTGATGGCATCGCTGGTTTCTGGTAAAGCCAGGGTTGGTCTCCTTCCTGGCTTCCTCTGGGTTGGCAGAGAGAGATGTGCCCCTTCTTTAAGGTCACAGTCCCGTGGAGTCAGGGCCCACTCTTGTGATCTCATTTAACCTTAATTCCCTTTAAATATATATCCAAATATAGTCATGTTGGGGGTTAGGGCTCCAACCTGTGAACTTGGAGGATTCAATTCAGGGGATGACCCCTTCTCTCACTGCCCTGCCTAGACGTCTCCGGGGAGCTTGTTTCCCTCTGCCACGCTTGCTACTCTTTATGGTGGTCTGGTCTGTGAGTTGTTTGTGCCTGATAATGGAGACAGGGCTTGTCTGTCTCTCCCATGGCCCCACCCTGGCATGTAGTAGGAGCAAAGCAGTCATTATCAATTATTACTGGTCTCTAAAGCAAAATTGCAAGGTTGATTTTATTTTTCTCTTTTTGCAAATGGGAAAACCGAGGCCCAAGAAGGAGAAGTTGATTTGGGTTCTTGGAATGGCAAAGCCCAGGCTCTGAACTCTGTGAGCCCCAGCCAGGACACTGGGGACTCACCCAGATCCCTGAACTATGCCTGGGTAAGGCAGGCTAGCCCACAAGCCCAAGAAAATAATGGAGTAATGTGATGAAGTGGCCCCTGAAGTCTGCATCTTCCTGCAGAGGGTGAGGGCGTTCACCAGGGCTGAGTCATCCCGCTTTCCATTCCTAATCCATAAGCAGGCTGTTACTGTCAGGCCCCACATCCCACCCAATCAGCTGCTCTCCTCTGGCCTCACAGACCCCTGCTGGTCTCCCCCTTGAAGCCCTGACCCCTGCAAGTAGTGCAGCAAGGAGGTGCTTAGGTGGGGGACTCTCCCACCGCTTCCCAATATCCCAGCTCCCTGGGGAGGGCAGAGGCATGACCAGAGTCCCAAGGCCATCAAGGATTGGCCTCTCCCACATCCTCTCCCTGGCCAGGAATAGTCAGCTCTACACTCTAATGGTGCATTTGAGCTCCTATGGAGGCTGTTGGAGAGAAGGCACTGTGGCACGGCTAAGCTGGGGTTCTGGCTCTGCCCCCACAGGACCACAGTGAGGTTCATAGTGAGCCCTCAACCCCCAGGTTTCCCCACTACCTCCAGGCACAAGACTTTGTAGTACCCTGTGCTCAGCACACTCAGCATGCAGGAAATGCTCTTGGCAACTGTTGGAAGGAGACTCACTGGAAGTGGACTTCAGGCCTGGGGCCAGTGGTGGGGGTGCATTGCTTGGAGGGGCTGGCATCTTTCAAGCTACCTTGGCTCTGAGTAGCCCTGTGTGGGCAGTTCCTGAAGCCAGGCCAGCCACCACTGTCCCTGTTCCTGCCAGTAAATACAGTGTGCCCACACAGTACTAAGGCTGTTTAGACAGAATACTGCCCCTGTGGGGCTGGTCCAGGTCTTTGGGGGTCTCTGCCCAGCTTGCTCCCATCACATGGAAAGTAGGGCAGGCACTGCCCCCACCTACCTCTTGCCTTTGGAGCACTCCAGTGTTACTCCAGGCCCCAGCCCAGGCACCAGGCCACCTCTGCAGAGCCTTGGCCACACCTGGTCCAGGATTTGCTTTTCTGGGAGAATGGGCAGGCAGGCAGCCAGCACTATAGTGTAAGGGATACCTGGACCTCAGTGAGACCCCCCAATACACATTTGCCTTATCTTTATTGCACTTTTACCACATTGCAAACTACTCCACAAAAATGCTGCAAAGGTAGGCCTGCCGCCAAGGCCACAGAGGACCCCTGTAACAGCCACTATCAGAAGGAGGTGGCACCGCTCTGCCGCCAGGAAAGCCCTGGGCCCACTAACTGGCCAAGGGCAAGGTCATTTACATCCATCTATGTCACTCTGAAACTGAAAGTGATCCTCACAATGCAAGTCCACTACGGCCAACAGAAGCCTCCTGCAGACTTGCCCTCTAAGTGTACCAGGACAGGAGGAGGAAAAGGGTTTTAAGTTCGGTTAGGTCCAGAGCACCTTGGGGGAAGAAGGTGTCCTTCCATTAACTTGGTAGATGGTCCAGGTCGGTAGAGACGTTGCTATTTATATACATATACACCATATATAAATACAAAATAGTAAATAAAGGCTTCCTTCCTACAAAAGGTGGGTGTCTGCCGCCAGGCCGCCTGTCCATGAGCACCAGCACTCCCTCTGACTTCTTCTGGTCTGGAAACAGTGAGCAAATCCAGTTGGGCCCACTGTGAAGGGCCCTGCATGTGCCCAAGGGTCCCTTCCAGTCTCAACTCCACTGACTTCCCTTGGGCGCTGTGTTCTCAGCAGTGGGCCGGCGGGGGCTGGTCACTACCTCTGGGTGGGCAGTGTGCTGTGCTCAGGGCCCAGGTCGTCCTCCACCACGCGGCCCAGCCCATCCTTCTCCACGCAGTCCCTGACGGCCTGCAGCACGATGCGAAGCCGACGGTCCAGGGCTTCCAGGTGTGGCTGGTACAGGATGGGGGCCACCCGGTCCTCCCGCAGGGACTCTGCCATCAGCAGGCTCAGCTTGTACTCTTCCTTGGCCAGGAGTTGCAGCCGCAGGTAGGTGGACTTCCTGATCCTGCCGGGGAAGAGAGGTCAGACCCTCTCAGAGGGAGAAGACCTCCAGTGTCGGCAATCAAGTGCGGGGACAGACTGCCATCAGCATTTCATCACCCTAACTGGGTTGTTCTCTGTCCTGCTCAGGGCCCTGACTCAGAGACAAAATGGTGAGAGTCTTGCCTTGCAGCAGTGGCCGGCAGGCACCCATTGCTCCAGGCAGCCCCTGAAGTGGGGACAGCTCACTCGCCAGGAGACCATCCCACCTGGGCATCCCTAGAGCAGGGCATGGTTTGTCCACAAGCTGTTTCCCCAAATGTAAAAATGAGGGACCTGGAGCCTTACTGAGGGTCACACCATCTTCATCACGACCCTACACAGCAGCTCACGTCGCCAACTGTGAGGTATGCTGTGATGGAGGGTGAGGAGTCAAGTTTGGGAGAGAATAGCATCAGGGTGCAATGGGAGGGGTGCAGGGTGGGATGGGTTTCAGGTTGTGGATGACTCCCTCTCTCTGTGTTATGACTGGGATAGGGGTGCGGGCCCTGACCAATCTGTGCTGGGAGAGCATCTGCCAGGGGCACGCTGTGGAGCGGGGCCATACCTGCAGCACTGCTGTAAAGGCACCAGGATGGAGAGCTCATCGTGGGAATATTTTCCAAACCTGTGGAAGAAGAGCAAAATCACCCAGGGGGCCCCATGTATGTGGACACTAGTGTGGGAGGCGACAGCAGGCTTCTCCCAGGGACAGGGCACTTGACAGTACCCACATGCTCTGCTGAGCTGGGGTATGGTATGTCCAGAACATGGAATGTGTGTCCTCAAAATCCAGAATGTGTCCCCAAAACCCAGGATATATGACACAGAGCCCAGGATGTCTGACCCCAGAACCCAAGAAGTGAGGCAGGGTCTAGACAAGGTAGGTCCCTGAATCAGCCTGGTGTCTGATTTACCCACCCCACCAGGCAGATGCTCAGAAATGAGGGGTGACAGGCAGAATGGGTGGATTTGGCACAAGGAGGCCGAGTCCAGGGCATCCTTTACAATGTGATCTAAATATGTACTCATTGGGGTGTCCAAGGCCACCCTGAGGTCTCTGAGTGCCTGCTGCTTCCCTTTTTGCAGTGGAGACCCTGCAGCCCTCACTCACTGATAACTCTTTGGGCACAGGCAGCCAGCACTGCCCAGTGGTCAGCCAGCAGTGACCTCAGGCCGGCCTAACCAGGCAGGGCAGGCCATCTGTCCAGCCCCTGTGTGTAGGGTGCAGTGTCCCTGCCCCACAGTCTTCTTAGCCAGGAGCCTCCGGGGCCTGTTTTCCCAGGGCCATAGGAGGCTGTAACAGGACCCAGCTCGCAGGGTTTCTGTGAGAATTAGTTGAAATAACATCCTGAACCCTCTGTCCACCCTCTGTTAAAGGCAGGGGACTGGCACCCTTCATCGCTCACAGAGTGAGCCTTCGGGAACAGCCATAGCCCTCCCCAGAGAACCTGGTCCTCTGGGTCTGGGTTGGGTTCCAAATAGGCGGGGATGCAGTCAGCCTTCCGTTGTGTCTGGAAGAGCAAGAGCAGGGCTCACCCTCTTCCGTTGTCTAAGTGGATAATGAACGTGTCATTTCCAAACTTCTCAAATGTCTCATAGTGATGGCGGTCCATGTTTCCTGCGGAGAGAAGCATAATAGTCCCGCTTGCTGAAAGTCTGGGTGCAGCTGGAGGCTCTTTCCTCCCTCCCCAAGTCTGACAACAGAGTAAAAGTAGGAACTGGTCACTCTTCGAACCCCAGGTATAGGAAGATTCCCTGCAAAAAGTCCCAGAGATCTGGGTAACAAGGGGTGGGGGAACCCCTGACCCCACCTTCCCAGTGCATGGCAGCCCATCTGCCTGCCTGCCAGGGCTCACCCATAAGGAAGTCAAAAATGGTCATGTCCATGATGTCCAGGACACGATGGCTCCTATCGTAGGGAGGCGTCTGCTTCACCTCTTCACAGTAGTCGGGATCCACTTCCCACCTGCAAGGGAGCCAGTATGAGGCCAGACCCTCCTCACATGGATAGGGGGATCCAAACCGAGTGCTGGGGTGGCACAGCTCAGTGCAGAGCAGAAGCAGTGGATGTACATAGCAGCGATGAGGATAGGGTTGGAAAAGTGACACAGTATCTGCAGAGGGACAAGAACCAGGGCAAGCTGAGGCCACATTAACAGGAATATGGGGCCAGGAGGTGATCAAGCCTTACCATTCTGCCCTTGGCGGACAACACCTAGAGGCTATTGTCAGCTCTGAATGCCATGTTTTTGGAGGTTCACTGTTAAGAAATAGGGCCTGGAACCACACTCACAAAGACATCTTGTGGCTGGAATAACAGGGGCCATTTCTCCCACATGAGGGATGAAAAGAGCAGGGAGTGGAAGCTATATTCAAACACTGGTAATCGCATTTCCAGAGACCCCAGCAGGCAGGCCAGCACCACTACAGGGGGTAGACACATCTAGTTCTCAGAGTAAGGAAGCCTTTTCTAATCACCTAATCAGCTAGTGTCCTTCAGCTGGGTGGGTTGCTAGGCCTCGCCTCCTGCCATTCTTAACTACTAGGTGGGCGTTAACAAGGTTGAGGCCCTCTGAGCCCATTTTTTCAGCTGCAAGAAGGATAGAAGTCAGAACACTGAGGGTGCAGGCCAGGCCAGGGTCTGCCCACTCGCACTCACTCTGCCTTCTTGCGTTTGTGGTAGGAGCGCCTCCAGGGGTTTCGCCATGTCTTCCTCTTGGCCAGGGACAGGTCTGGCAGGAAGGCCGCCAGCGAGCCCTCAATCTGGTCGGGCTTCCCACACAGGGCATGCTCTGTGGAGCAGTAGTAGGAACACTCCCCATAGAAGCAGATGTTGTTGGCTGGCGGTAGAGGACACAGCTGGTTACTAGGACTGGCTGGAGCAATTAGCTCCCATCCCAGCCCGCTCCCCAGAATGTCTGTCATGGGCCACATGTCATCCTCCCATAGTCCTCCTGATTGATGCCTGGGATCTGCCCACCTTGTTACCCACAACCTCACTTCTGATCTCAGCAGCCCATTCCAACCTCCTTATTCCAACCCCATTTATAAACAATGAGGCCCCAGAGCAGGGGCTGACCTGCCTCAGGTCACACAGGGTTAGTGCTACACCTCACCCAGGTTTTCTACTCACCCTCAAAATTAAGGGACAAAAATCTATGAGAATTCTGGAGCAAGGTGCAATGGCTTAAAAAGGGCATTCATACTATGGAGTGAGGAGACAGCTGGAGAATGGGAGAAAATGTTTGCAAATCATATACCTGGTAGAGTCTTCTATTTAGTACCTACAAGGAGCTCTTACACTCAAGGAGGGAAAAAAGATAAATAACCCCATTAATAAATGGGTAAAGGAGTTGAATGGATAGTTCTCCGAAGAAGATACACAAATGGCCAACAAGGACCTGAAAAGATGCTCAGTGTCATTAGCCATTAGGGAAATGCATATCAAAGCCACAATGATACCACTTTGTACTTGCTAAGATGATGTTGATCAAAAGAACAGGTAATAACAAGTGTTAAGGTGGAAAAATTGGGACCCTCATGCACTGCTGGTGGAAATGTAAAATGGTGGGTGCAGCTGCTATGGAAAATAGTTTGGTGCCGCCTCCAAAAGTTAGACATAGGATTACCATATGACCCATTAATTCCACTCCTAAGTATATACCATGGGGGGGCTGAAAACATATTCATACAAAAATATGTACATAAATGTTCATAATAGCATTATTCATAATAGTCCAAAGGTAGAAATAACCCAAAAGTCCACCAGTGGATGAACAGATGAACAAATGTGGGTATCCACAAAATGGACTATTCTTTGATCATGAAAGAAAGTGCTGATGTGTCCTTAGGACATTCAGTCGAGTGATAGAAGCCATCACAAAGGATACCTATTGTATGATCCTTCTGAAATGAAATGTCCGGAGTAGACAAATCCATGACAGAAGGATTGGTGGTTGCCTGGGGCTGGGGAGGGGGAAGAATTGGGCCTAACAGCCTACAGGGCAGGCTTCTTTTTTGAGGTGAGGAAACTTCTGAATTAGATGGTGATGATAGTTGCATGGCATTTTTTTGGTTTGTTTTTATTGTGTTTTGTTTTCTTTTCTTGTTCAATTTTTTAAAAATTAGTCTGATGTGAAAAAATCCTAATCCATAAAAGAAATTTAGAGGAAAAGAACTGAAGAAAGGTTAATTTCACTTTACAAAATCATCGACCCCAAGAAGTTCCAGTGTTCAGTTTACAGGTACTTTGTGAATGGCCAGAGTTCCAGGTACAGGAACTTCAGTGGGGTTAATATTTGAGTGAGGGGGACCTGGTGACGACCTGGCTTTTACATCATACAGGAGACCCTGAGGGTCTTGGAGTTCAGTGCAATTCCCCTCTGGATTCAAACTCGTCATTAGTGGACATCATCTGCCCAACATGGTAATAGGCTAAACTGAGCCCTGCATGCATCCTTTGGGGGTGCAGCAGGTGCATCTGATTATCCTGCTGGGAACATGGGGCCTGTTTTAGCTGCCAGACTTCTAGTTCTCCAGAAGTCTATTTAATGGGTGGCTTAGAGTTGGTGCTGAGGTCGTTTTCCATGTTGAGCTCATCCTGGGCATTTTCTTTGAAGCAGAGTGTAGGGTAAATGGGTTAAAAATCAGGTTTCTTTGAGCCCCCCTACCTCTGGCGTGGATGCCTGGAGCTAAGCAGAATAGGTGCGGGCACGTGAGCCTTTGATTATGGATGCCTGGGCCCTGAGATCATGGGAGTGTGCATGTGTAAGTGATGGCACCTGTGCTGGGAGGCCAGGATATAAGGGAGGTGTCACACTCAGAGATGGCCATGACTACGACTACTAGAGGTGAGATCATAAAACCGAGAATGTCAGAAAGAAGCCAGAGAAAGAGAGCAAAGATTTGCAGGAGACTGGGAGGCTTGCTAGTCATTCCAATTGTTTCCAGAGTCACCATCTGACATCCCATTAAGAGAACGTGTAATCTGAGTAGCCACCAAACGATCCAGACTGGCCAGGTTTGGGCTCAGTCTTGCTCAGGTTAGTTCATGGGTGGTGAGTCGTTTTCTCCACCACCAAGGGAATCTTCTAAATGGAACCCATCCCCTTACATGGGGCTCTTGTCATGTCATCAATGGTATCCCCTGGTTGGGCAGCACTAAGCCCAGCAGGCTGTGCCGCGGCAGAGCCGGAGCCACCTGGAGTGACAAGGTGCCTGGCTGCGGTGACTGGACAGTCCCTGGAGTTTGCACAGCATGTTGAATGCACTAAAAACCGTTCAACAGCACACTTCAGAGATGAATGTTATGGTATGTGAATTATAACTCATTAAGAGTAATTTAAAAAATGCACATCCCTTTGGCCAGTTGCCACAGTTTATGGCTGGAGACCCAGGTCAGTTACCTCCTAGGGATCAGGCCTGAAGGGCATGTGTATATACTCATTTGTCTATTTACTGAGGGAATCCACGGTCTTGTGTGTAATTACTTTGCTTAGCGGAGATGCTCTCAAGAGCCTGGGTGTGTAGAATGTGGGAGCCGAAGCGCCACGCAACACTTGCAACCTCCTTCCCATCTGTGCAAATAGCCAATGTGTTTCTGCCTGCAGCACGGCCTGCTTGAGTGGTTCTCCCATTTTTTCTGGAACCTGCAGGTCACGGGGTGGTCCCACTCCCCAATGAAGTTAAAATTGAGCCAGCTGGCCCGACTCAGCTCAGGGTATGGAGAGTGACCAGGCTGCCTCCTCAAACCGAGGTCAGGGGGTGGGAGCCAGAGCACCCCTCTGATACAGTGCAAGTCTCCTGGCCTTAAGGAGCCACACCACAAGTCCCCAGCCTGTCTCCTCCTGATCCCCGAGCAAGCAGCTGATAAATGCTGTAGGAAGGACAGAAAACGGGTATGTGATCTCATCTGTGTGTCAGTGGTTCAATCAGCAGCTCACAGAGGCACAATAAACCTCAGCCGAGGCAGCAGCTCCATTTTCAGGAGGAAAATCTTTATCCCATCTCATTGGCTGGAGTCTGGAATTCATCAACTCTAATAGCCTAAGCCGGCTTTAGATGGTATCGGGTTAAAAGAGAAAGGCATTTCACGGTCCACAGCTTTTCCTCATCAGATTCAAATCCAGTTTCTAAAGGGACAGCCAGGACGGGGCTCTGAAAGCCAGTGTCTCCCACTCTCCACTGTGTGGCCTGGGGCAAGACACCACACCTCTCTGTGCCTGTCTCCTCGTCCGCAGCGAGGGCCCAGCAGCGCCAGCCTCCCAGGCTGAGTATTAAATGAGGTGATCAGGGAGAAGTCGGGGATGTTTGTCTGGAACCAAGCCAGTGACCAGTCAAGGCACGGAGGGCCGGGCTTGGGAGGAAGGAGGCAGCTTTTCACCTTAGTAATAAAACAGATGGCTGGCATCTGAGGGAGGAGCCTGGACTCCACAGAACTGTAACACGTGGCTTTCCACAAGGGTCAAGAGAGTCCCTCTACCCCATGGCCAGAGGGGTGCAAACCAGGCCTTTCTCCAAATACTTCAGGGGACTGCCCAGCAGCAAGGGGAGCCTTAGAAACAGGACTCTTGCCAGCCCAGCCCAGATGGACATTTCCAAAGCACGGTGGCTGTCACCTGAGTCAGGGACCTTGGGGAGCACAGCACAGACCTCAAGTTTAAGCTGGACACTGTGTCCTTGGTGTGTGAACAGTCCTGACGGCCTGTACTTCTGTGGCAGAAGGAAGGGCCAATTGCAACATACAGGCTGAGTGCCTGAGAGGGGCAGAGGGCTTCTGAGCTGCTCACTTTCCATCTCTTGCCCTAGGTTTTACAGGCGGTTCTTGTAATAAGAGCTGAGTGGATGACGTGTCGGCCTCCACGATGCATGACATGGGGACAGAAACTTACCAGAAAGTGCAGGTATGTGTTTTGTGAATGCTTAGGGCCTGGAGACTTCCTTCTGTCCCAGCCCTGCCTGTGCCCTGTGTGGTGCTGGGTGCTTAAGCTGCCCCTGAGTGTGAGTTCTCACAGCTGATGTGAGGTTGCTGTGGGGCAACAGGGCCCGCCTGGGTACAACAGGGGCAGTTGCCTTGTTCCTTCCTGCCTCCAACAAGGCAACACATCATCCTGCTGCTGCTATCCTGGGTTTGACAGAGCAGGGTGCTGCCCCCACCCCACACCCCTCCAACCCAGAGCCTTGTTCTCCACTGGCTGCATAGATTTTCCCTTTTTTGATTGACCACAGAGCAGTTACTTGGCCCCTGGAGGCAGAAAGGAAATCTGTGGCAGATTAAAGTCTTTTCCAATGTGCGCCTGGCCCTTGAGCAAAGCTCAGCATCTATGGCGATGCTGGCATCAGATGGGTCTAGCAAAGCGAAAACTGTACAAAGGAATCCGAGCAGATCCCGTGATCAAAGCTGTTTCCCGTCATCCTACTCAGAGTAAAGCCAACATTTCCAAAGCTTCCAGGAAGAGAACTGGCTGACAGAGCAGGGCGTAGGGATAGAAATTCTGTAGAGAGGGCCTCCCAGGTGGCGCAGCGGTTGAGCGCTGGGTTGCGAAGCTGCCCGCGGCCTCTGCGGCGCCGGTTCGATCCCCGGCTGCTCCCCGGCCACCGGAGGAGGGTCCCACATGGCGCGCAGACCTCTCCTGCCGCCCGCTACTCCCCTCAGCAGTGTACTTCGGTCCTTCTGCCTGCTCTGTTCCCCGCTCTGGCTCTGGTGAATTCTCTCACCCTCCCGCGCTTCTGACTGTACCCAGTGCATGTATAAACCAAACAAACAAACAAATAGATAAATAAGACATGCCTCTAGAAAATTTAAAAAAAAAAAAAAAAAAAAAGAAATTCTGTAGAGAGCACTGCAGGCGTGAGTTTCAGGTAAAGCCAGACATCTAGGGAGAGGTTTCTAGAGAGCACTGTACAGGCAGAACTGGCTTCTCCCCGGGTGAGATTCTTGGGCTCTCACAGGAGCTGTGCTGACAAACCTGCACTTGCAGGTTTCACTGGGACTGGTCAGGGTGCAGTGCCACCCCAGTCCCCACGGCAGGACATCCCAATGGCCCATCCCAGCCCCTCCCACCCCACTGTTGGAGCCTGTTGTGGGAGTCTGGGGAGCTGAGTGCATATGGCACACCTGGGGAAGGGCAGCACACCTGGGGAAGGCTCAGTTTCAGTGGGGTGACATCTCCCAGCCTCAGTGGCCACACCATGACATGATCTCAGCAGCAACAGACACAGTTAGTTCTGAGGTGATAGCCCCAGAAAAGAGGCCTGAACAGAAAGGTGGAGTCTTGACTAACATGAATGTTGTCGATCACTAAACTGGGTGGTGGGCACGAGAGATCTGGAATGTCACTCACTCTCTTAATGTTTATCCACTGACTACATCATTAGAAACACTGCAATAAAAACCAGTAAGAGCAGCCACAGGGCCTGGGTACCAGCCCGGCAAGTGGTCCCCCCCAGAGACCAGGGGCCAGCCCAGTCCAGAGTCCAAGGTGATCATTACTGGGGGTGTAAGAGTGAGCGAAGATACTGGGGTGCTTAGGATCCTGGCAGAAAGCACTAGGACACGGGTGAGGGAGAAAGTTCTAGCCCTTTGCATATGCTCAGGGTGTGCAAACAGGAACCAAGTCACCTGAAAGCGATGAGCTCTCAGTCACTGGGGCTGTGCAAGCTGCAGGCAGGCTCCAGAAGACTGACCTGGAAAGCTGCAGACCCCTCCCCACCCTCAGGCTCATACTTGACCCTTCATTTCTGGTTATGTGGGACAGGACTTTGGCCGGCAAAGGGGACGGAAAGTGTTCTTTCTGCCTCTCGGGATCTCTGTCCTCCTTGTCCCTTATTAATGGCCTCTGGGCATGAGGAACTGTGAGGTGAGCACTGGACAATGAGAATGGAGCTTAACTGAACTATGGATTTATGGCTGCAATTCTGACAGATTTATGAATGCAGTTAGGACAACGTGCAGAGTATATCGATCAGAAGATCTATGCAGTGAATGTTTACATGTCCATGGGCCAGCAAAACTCGATTCAGCTAGCCAAGGGTCTCACTTGGGATTTATCTGCATGAATTAGCAAAGATGGTTAAAAAAAAAGTGTGGTGGGAGTAGGAGGGGTTCATGCTCTGCCACCATCACTGGGGCCCCCAAGAACCTTCTCTGAACAGTGTGAGACAGAAGTCTGGGGACACGCTTCCCCACAGTGATGGCCTGTACTAACTCAGTGCAGGGCCTGGTACGGGACGGGCTCAGGATGCACCTGGGGCACCTGGGGCAAGTAATGCAGCAGGGTATTTATTGAAGAGTCATGGTATGAAGTCTTGAGGCTTTTGCCTTCAACAGATACAAGTGTTGCACATGAGCACAGGGTATTCCTCCACTTCCTGTCCAGCTGCTGAGGTGAGAAGGGTAGGTGGCAGGGCTGTGTCACTACACGGGGTCTTGCTGGGGTGGCTTAATCTAGGCAGGAGTTCAGCAAGCAGAGATCCCCTCTAGCTATCCACAGGGTGCCGATTCCTAGAGAGGCTAGAATTCATTTTGTACTTTAAAACAAAAAAAAAATGGTGGAACAGACCTGTTTGCCCCATCAGGGCAAACTGATGGCACAACCATTCTTGGCAGCCCTTTAAAATCATAATGTAGAGTGACAACCCCACATAGAAGGGAGCATGGCGCTTTAAGTGAGGAACTATATTCTATAATGACTTCCTTTTTGTTAGAATAAGGTGACTAAGCTCCCATTGATGTGAGCAGTAAGCTGGGGTCAGGGATGTGCCCTGTGCAGGCAAGGGCTGGGCCCCAGATCAGGTGTGACGGTGTGCCCAGTGCAGGTAAGGAGTGGCCCCGCTCAGATTACCTGGAGAGATGAAGAAGGTCCTCCACAGCTTCTTGTCCCGAGTAACATCCCGAATCTCCTTGGTCATGTTGACCATCCGGCCGGCCACTGGAGGAACCCGACGGAAATCCAGGATCCTGGCAGGGAAGGGCAGGGGAGGGGTAGTTATCTCCGTGGCCCCTCACACCTCTCCAAGCTGGAGCAGAACAAACTTGCCTCCCTCTGCCTGTGACTGACAGCGGTATAGACTGAGGTTGGCGGTTCTTCATTTACCTGTCCTTGGCCCTCAAAACTCCTGGGCAACTAAAATGTCTTCATTGCAGGACTGAGCTTAAAATAAATGAAACTAAATGAGCCAGTTTTAATGGAACTTTCTGCACAGCACTGCATGTACTGCCGCTTGACCAAATGTCAAGTGCCAAATGTGAGCGGAGGGGGTACAGTGATAGAGGGCGCAGCTCCCCTCTGTGAGAGTGGCAGGCACGAAGGCATGTGGGCCATCCGGGCAGGACCAGCCAAGTCTGGCACTGCACCTCCACCCCGTTGGCCAGCACCAGCCAAAAGGCTTTGTGTCCTGTGCACACACAAGCTCCGCGTTTCCTAACGAGTAACTCTCATGGACTTCAAGGCAACCTCTCTTTTCATAGAAGGCCCTTTGCTGGGTTCAAGCTGTTCTAGGTAGTTGAATTCGTGGAGCATCTGACTTGGGGGTTTCTGTAGCCACCATATAAGCTTTTTGATGGTAAAAGGATGGCTTTTCAACCTTTAATGTTCACTCAAATCATCAGGGATCTTATTAAAAGGCAGATTCTGGTTGGAAGGTCTGGAGCCCTGGATGCTGCATTCCAGCTAGATGGGAATGGCAATGCTGCTGTCCATGGGCCAGATGCTTAACAGGAGGCCAGCAACCATTGTCTTGCCCTGTGGACAGGAGGCTCCAGGGGGCTGAAGCAGGGGTCTTGCATTCCTCTGATGCTGGAGTGGACCCCACAGTTGACCCCAGAGGCAGGCCCATGAACCACCTCCTCCCGGAGGTGCACAGCTCTGAGCAAGCCCCAGAAGCTGCTAAGTCCACTTTATGCATCCACCCACCTTGCAGAGGGGACTGACATGGGGCCCCTATAGATAGGGGCCCCATGGAACCCAAAAGGAACTCACATTTTGTTGAGAACAGATTCCCCCTCCTAGGAGACAGTTTTTTGAGACTCCTGTCTTAAAAACAGGAGTTCTCTGTGTTAAAATCCACGCACTCCACACTCCTTCCCTCTTCCTCCTTCACTCCCAGCTGCCCACCTGGCTGCCCTGTGATCACTGTCCATTCCTGAGACTCTTCCCATCAGGAATGGGGCCTGTGCCAGACAGTGGGCATGCCCACCTGGGCTAGAGGCCCCAAGGGCAGGGCCCTGTCTGTGTGAGAGGAAGGGTCTCTGTATGGGGCTCTGGGCCAATGGATGGCTGATGGGCCTCCATTCCCATCAGGAGCAGGGATGCAGCCGCCCCTGCGGACCAGCAGGCAGGACGGGCTCACCTGTCCAGGTGGAAGGCTGCAATCTCCGCATTGTGCCTCTCGTAGTCAGAGAAGTAAAAAAAGTCGGGGGGTGTCTCCTGCTCCCGTGTCTGCCTAGAGAAATGGGACACAAAGACAAGCTGATCACAGAGAAACCTCCAGTGGAAGGGGGAGCACATGTGGCTTTCAACAGTAGGCTGTTTGTTAAACGAGTCCTCATTAGAAATTAAATCATTTAAACTTACAATTAAGTAAATACATCTAAAAGTAATAAATACTTAAATCTCCTCGATCCCCTGTTATTTTCCTGCATGTCTTCCCAGCTCTGCCTCTAGTGACCACAGGTCAGCCTACAGGAAGGGCTGGCACCATGGACACTAGCGAGCTCTGTGAGTCAGGTGCTTCCCCCACCATGGACTCATCAGCCACCAGCAGATCCAGGCCACTCGCCAGGCACCACCCTCCCAAAGACGGCCAGGAGAGGCAGCCCCTGGCGGTGAGGGGAGCTCTCAGGGGAAGGTGCCTCAGGAGCAGGAGAGCCTCCCTGGAGAAGGCTGGCTTTTCCATGCATGAGCCAGGGTTAGGGTCAGGCTGCTCTCAGCCACCCCTCTGCTCCCCACATGGAGACCCTCCCCCTGGGAGGGCTTTCTAGTGGCCAGGTGTGGGTCCCTTTCCAAAGGCTACAGGAGGTGATCAGCTTTTCAGTGTCCCACTAGCAGCACCCTACCATTTGGATCTCACAACCTGCCTCCACCAGCCTCATGTCAGTCCCCTCTGCTCCTTCCATCTCCCAAGCTGGGGTCAAGACCACCTGCTATACCCATGCTTGTCACCTTCACTCTGCTGTCTCTCCTCGCACTGCTCCATCTCCTGGAATAACCATCCCTTCATGTCTCCAAGTGGCTAGGCCAGCATTTCCAAGTATGTGCCTCACCCAACACCAGCCCAGAGCTTCCAGCACAAAAGGAGTACTCAGTCAACGAAAGTTTGGAGTTTGGGTAATGGTGCCTAATGGACCCTCTGCTGCCTCAACATTACACTGCAGTATTGTGAAGGCTCTGACAAGGCCTGCAGCCACTGATTTGGAGCTCACTTTATTCACAACACGTGACCACATGAACACTTCTGACAACTGCTGGTTTAAGCTTTCAGGGCAAACCATTGCCAAGTCCTGCTCAAAGGCAAACTCCACACTACCTCCCGCAAGCTACAGCTGTGATCCCTGGACAGAAAGTCTGTTTGAGCAGCAGGTGGCTCCACAGTGACCCACCGTGAAGCCTGAGCGGGGCCACCAGCTCATCCCCCTACACGCAGCACCCCTGCTGGCTGGCTGTGTGCACCCCTGGCCTGGCTAGGGCCCTCCTGGGATCCCCAGGAGTGGATGGACTAGGGGATTCTGGGACCCTCTTGGCTCTGACATCCTGTGTCATCACATTAAGCAGCAGATAGCAGGTGGGGTGAGGCTTTTCCCTCTGTCCCTACAATGGGACAGGAAGCCACACACAGGATGGCCCTATCTATTCTGTAAAGGTCAGTGCTTCACAGGCACCAGGAAGCAGGGATATCAGTGACTCAAGTGCCTGTCTTAAATGACTTGGGGACATTAACTGATCTTTGTCTAAAGTTGTGTCAGAGCAAACTCCCTGTGTGAAATCCAGGTCCCTAGGAGCCCCACCTCCAACTGGCACCTCCCAGGAAGGAACTCAGCTCTCAACCTAGTAAGAATTTACCAAATGCCAGGAACCCTCCCCAGGCTAGAAAACACAGAACACAAGAGAATAAGGGCCTCACCCAAGACCCAGACCATACCCCCACACAAGGTGGAAGCTGTCAGTCTTGGCTTGAGTGCTCCCATGAATGTCTGGGGATTTCCCATCTTTAGCTCCCCTGCCTGGGTCCGCCCTTCCTGATACAGCTGAGGTTGGTCAGTATCCCTCTGAACACCCAACCTCATTGCCAGCCAACACACACAGATCACAGGCACTGAGAACAGAATAGCCATCCTGGGGGCTGGGGGGTAGGAAGAGAGAGGCAGGGAGGTCTCTCGGGAAGGGCCTGGATCTTGCCAACAGGCCCTATGTCCATGTGGGTCCCAGTTCCCTGTGTGCTTTAAGCTCCTAATAGGGGGATATAGGCTCTTTTCCATGTTCCCCTGAACTCACCTGAGTCAAAGCTTCCTTGTCAGTCTTTCTAGGAAGAAGTGTGTGATGCGGGGAACAGGCTGTTTTTCATAATCCCAACTTATGTGACACCAGCCTTGGCAGGACTCAGGTTAGGAATGGCCCTGGCCTTGCACAGAGGGCCCTTTATGAGGCCACAGGGCTGTTACAGGAGCTATTTAAGATGATCACAGATGGCATGTGAGGAAGGAAGCAAACATCCATCTAGCGACCTCCCAAGTGGTCAGTGTGCTTTTTCTTAGTCAACGGATGCTGAAAGAGGATTGGTGTGCAGAGCAGGGCTGTTGGTGCAGGGACAGCCCCCAGGGAAGGCAGCTACTCACAGCTCTCAGAGCCAAGAGTGCCCCACTGAGGTGACACCAGGCTGCCCAGGGCTTCTGAGATCTCAAGAGAAACAGTCTAGACTTGTGGAATCTCCTGACATTAATGCTGGCAGGTAAATTTCATTTTCTAAAAAATATCATGGATCAAACCAAATACATGAGCTTTGCTGAATGCCACCCATGGGTCCGAACTGGCAGCTTCCAGAGGGGTGGATATTTTTGAGATTAAAAAGCAGTCATGAACTCAACTTCGAAGCATTGGTTTCGAGCAAAGCTCTCTCTCCACAGCATTGGTTCTACTGGAAGAGGGTCCTGCTCTGCCCATGGCCAGTGCATGACCCCTCTCAGTGTCCTGGCTCCGCACCCTAAAGAGAGCAGCTGCCTCTCTGTGGTTGCAGGACGACGTTCGCTTTTGGAGCTGGGACTGCAAAAGGGCATCCACTCAGGCTCTCAGTCCTGGCCAGCACACAGCAATAGGGCCACCGTGACCCTCATCTGATTTCACAGGGGGGCAACTGAGGCCCAGGGTGGTGCAGACCTGTTACAACCTAAGGCAGCAAGGGCTAGGCCCAGTTGTTGTTGGGTTTTGGATTTGGTTCCGACCAACCATACACATGTAACATGCACACAAAGGTGCATACACACACACTTGCACTCACACTAGCAGGCACTCCCACTCCAGTACAGGGGTGTCAGAAAGGATCTCAGAGAGAAGGGAGTTAGGAGCCAGTACCCATGATTCTTCTCCAGCACAGAAAGTGAGTTCTCTCACACAGAAGGGCCAGCAAAGAGCATTTAGTGACTGTGGAAAAACAGTCTGAATTCCTGGCTGCAAAAGGAGACTCAAAGCTCAAGTGAGACATGAGTAACCTGTTTCTTGAGCACACTGCACAAATCAGGCCAGAAAAGCACCTTCCACTGCCCAACTTGCATTCTGCTCATAGCCCCAGCAGCAGATGGACAGGGAGCAGCCCCACCCCGGCTCTGTGGCAAGGCCCTGCCTCTGTGACCACAAACTCCAAGGCCAAGCCAGGCAGCAAAGAGTCCTTGGCAGAAAGGACAGCACCACCTCTGGGCCAGAGCTGGAGCCTCCGATATATAGGCAAGATCAGGGAGCAGCCCCAAGTGAATGAGGTAAGAGGCTGTCAACAGGGCTCCTTTAAAGCCACAGTGCTGACCTGCTCCACCCGCCCAGACTCACCACTCCTCCTCCATCTCCTGCTGGAGAGGCACCCCAACCCATGATTATTGCTATCAGAAACCTCCCAAGCTCCTCTAGATCCAAGCCACCTCTTCAGACCTGCCACCACCCCTTCCCCTCAACTCCTGTGGTTCCTGTAACCCTAACCCTTCCGTGGACCCAGCCCACAGGGCTTCCCCATCTCTGTCTTTGCTGTGCTGTGCCCTCTGCCTGTACTTCCTCCTCCACCCTCCCCAAGAGCTGTCTCAGTCCCTGCAGGCCTTCCCTGGTGGCCTGAGACCACGGCTCCGCTCTAGAGGAGATTGGCACTGGGACACCAGATCATTGTTGGTATGGCCTGGGGCGGGAATGCCTCGCCAACTATCTGCTTTAGAAAAGGTATTTAGCAAACAAATGGGCAGATGAGGCAATGATGGAAAATGCAAATCGAGGGGGCATAAATCCATGCCCCTTGCGCTCTTCGCACCCATTTCTTCAATGTCCACCATCACCACCATCACCAGCATTAGCACCACCTCCAGGCCTATTATCCCAAATTCTGACCTCTTTTTGCCAGAGGTACAAAGGCAGTATCTGTGATGCTAAAAAGTACTTATATCTAGTAATGATTTGGTCTTTGTCTCTCCCTCACCCTGCCTGCCTCTGAGTGGGCCACACACCTGCTCAGGTGTCTGTGAGCTCTGCTCTCTGAGAAAAGCCCAGTCACTTCCTGGAGGCTCTCTGGTTGCAGGACAGTTCCTGGTTCCCTCATATCTTCACCTCAGGGCTTTCCCATGGTTCACAGAAAGAGGCAGCTCTATTCCCAGCCCTGAGGCCCCAAGGGCAGCCCACCCCCATACCCCTGCCCCGGTATGGCCTGGAAGTCCAAGGAAGGGTGATGAATGCCTCTTTGTCCATGTGCCAGTGACCTTCTCACTCCGTGAGAGGTACCGAGATGCTCCTGGGCCTGTCTTCTTCAGGCCACGCTCCAGATGGCAGAATACTCAAACAGTTTTAAGGCTCCAATAGGTTATGAGCACCACAGACAAGGCCCAATTTTATGTCCTGATAGGCCCAGAAATAAGCGGGGCACCCAGGAGGTTCCTGCAGGGGAGGCAGACACTCGGACAGGTGGGCTTGGCAGGAACACATAGTCCTCTAAGACAGAATATGGGTGCCTGGACTGGCAGTGGGCAGATGTGTCGCTGTCACCAGCTGGAAGGACTGGGAGAGTGAGCTAAATGTTCTGACCCTCAGCTCCCCCAGCTGATTTTAAAAAGAAGACACTTTCTCCACCTCCTTCCCCAAAAGATCACTGGACAAGGCTCTGGGGAGAGCACCTGGCCCCTCACGGGATGTGGCAACTAAATATGGCTCCTCCTTTCACAGGCACGTACACACTCACACGCACACACAGAGAGCTGGTGGAAG